CTGCCCAGGGGCTGTCTCCCATGACTGCGTCATGAAGAATGAAGGGTGTTTAGAGAGACACTCTTTTTCTACAGCTCTTCTCTGCTCTGTGAGCCTTAGTTAAGGGCTTAAACGACGTGATGAAATGTGTAACTATTTTCCAGTAAACTTTGACTTTAGAATAGTTTTAGATTTATAGAAAAGTTGTGAAGGTATACAGAGGGTTCCCATATACCTCACACCCATTTCCCCGAGTGATGGATCTTACGTGGTATGCTGCATGTGGGCCAGTATTGATACATTAGTCTTAACCTAAATCTATACTGTTCATATTTCCTTAGACTTTACCTAACACCTTTTCTCCGTTCCCGGGTCCCATCTGAGTTACCCATTGTAGTTAGTCTTTGCTACTAGGTGTTCAGCAGTGTCCTTTGGACATGGATCAAAGTGTACATTTAATGTATCATTGCATGCAACCAGCCACACTTATGTGTTTGTTTCATATTAAATAGTCTCCTTTCTTTAAACATCAGAACACTAATATGAAGCTAATAAATCAACACTGTCTGATGGATAGTATCAAAGGTTTGAGTTTTTCCAGCAGCTTTACATTGTCTCCCTGTATGTGTTTTTACAATGAAAATCACCCATGTCCAGTGGGGAAAAGTTAGTGCATCATCAGTGGGACACTCTTGATGGACACGTGGCATTTGTAGTAGCACACCTTTAGGGTTTTACCAAAACAAAGGATATATTACTTGCTCTGAGTAGTGTCCTCATTTTCAGAAGACGATAACAGTCCTGAGGACTTAGGGCAGACGAGTCTCCTCTCAGAACCTTTTCTGTCTTTAGGTCTCCCTCATATACAGTCAGCCAGCGGGAGCTTTGTGTCAGCACCGGGTAGACCCAGGTGGGCCTTTGTGTAGAAAGCACTCAGGGCAGCTGTACGGGAGATGCTGCTGGTCTCACGCCACCTTGGGCCAGTCAGCAGCTCAACTAGCTTGGCAGTGATTGCCCAGGCAGGCCATGGGGTTAGGAAGGTGGAGAGAAGTTGTTTGGCCAGCCCCAGTGACATGCAGAAGATGTGCTCGTCAGGGAGAAGGCAGATGACACGAGTCACATCGCTGCACCAGTGGTGGCGGCTCCTGAACTGATGCAGTCCTTCCCTAATCGCCCGTGTTGCGAGCCTCGCTTTGTCTGCAGTAGGATGGGGACACACGCCAGTCTCTTCACCAAGTGAGCCTTTCAACTTGTGAACTCTTCTGTCTGGATCAGTAAACCTGGATGCTCCAGCGTTTCCCCAAGTTCTCTCTGTTCCCTTCTTTAGTCATCTCTAAGTCTCAGATGCGTGCGTCCCCTATGTCCTGTTCTACCTGGGGAGCTGGAACCTCCCCACAGCGTGTGGGCAGCGGTGGTGGGACATGCGGATGGAGCACTGAGCAGCCTCCTTTGCTTCGCCGAGCACAGCCTGTTTCTACAGACGTCCTTTACTTACTTCTCTACTTACTTTTTTATTTATTGCTACTGCCAACGTGCAATTTTTAAAATCTCATCATAAAATTGCTGTTTGTTCAAAAGGCCACATGTTGTATGATTTCATTTAGATGAAATGTCCAAAATAGATAAATCTATAGAGATAGAAAGCAGATTAGTGGTTACAGAGCCTGGGGGAGGCGGGGATAGGGGCTGCTAATGAGAACAAGGTTTCTTTTGAGGTGATGAAATATTCCAGAATTACTTTGTGGAGTTGGTTGCACAACCTTGTGAATATACTAAAAACCACTAGATTATAGACTTTAAAGTGGTGAATTTTATGGTATGCGAATTATGTTGTTTAAAAAATGGATGCTTGTTCATTGTAGAGATGTTTGACAATTAAAGAAGAAATCTAAATTACCTATATAATTCCAGATAATTAATAGTGACATTTTGATGTGTGCATGGCAGTTTTTGTTTTTGTTTTGTGTTTATGTTTTTCTTTGGGTTTTTTCTTAACCCTTCTTAGGGCCAGGAGAAAGCCTGTTGGAATCTACTGAAACACTGCACCCTGTTCTCACTTGTCCTGTTCCCCTGATTCAAATATACCCATTACATTTTGCTTATGGCTTTTAGGAGGCACAGAAACTTGAATGAAGACAACCATTCTGTGCCTGACCTTTATGTAGTATAGGAGAATGACACTTTTAAAGTTTCAGAATATAAATGGTGTCCAATTTCTCAGTTACGATCCAATACCAGGGCCTAAGTTTTATTAAAACGTAAGGTGTCAATTCTAAGGACCGTGGCGATTGGGCATCCTGAATGTATTCACCTATTTGACTTACAGAGGAAATGCACTGGGACTGAGCCCCTGGATGCTTTCACACCTAAGTTCCAAAGCTGGGGGTGGGAGGTTGCTCTGCTATCAGCCTACTTGAAACTTGACCTGTTTTCCCTGATATGTAGACGATATTCTTTTGCTCAAATATCAAACCAAATTTTACCTAGGGTAATATTTGAGGCTGTAAGAAATGAAAAATAAAATTCCAGAATGACTAGCACAACCTATTTAAAGAGAATCTTAACACTTCCAGTGTCAGCAGTGACTTTGCATGTCTGGGTGGGGCTGACATCTGCTTATGAACCAACAGAAGCATTTGGATCACCTCCTGAGCCTCTCACACAGGAATGTGCTCGCCCACACCCAGCTCTATGGTGTGAAAATACTTAGGCTTCGAATTGAAAGCTGCCTTGGAAGAGTCAGGCAGGAATCTTTTCCACGGTGGAATTGGGCTAATGGCGCTTATTTTTCTTCAGGGTGTATATTTATTTGACTGTTTCACACCATTTGTCAACTTCTAAGCAGTTAATAATTTTTATGCCTCTTTCAGTTGTGTGTATATAGTACAAGTGTGTTGGATTTCCTGTGGTCTCTCTACATTTAAACAGTGCTGAGTGATGGTATGTGTAACATGCCAATTTAAAATTTCAAACCCAAACTGAAGTCTTTAATTCTTTCGCAAAAACCCGTTGACTCGCTTGGATCGCGTCTGCTTGTCTCTTCTATAGCAGCCCAGGATTCTGTCTAGGTTTTAATGCTCAGACCATCCGCGTCCCTGGGCATGCAACCCGCGCTGTCCTCCAGCTATTTATGCAATGTGGAGGAAGATTAAAATATATACAGCGACTATCTCAGGAGAAGGGTCTCGTTGCCACAGGAGAGCTGTGCAGTTTGGGGGAGTTGTTTTAGAGAATAAAGATGTCACTTCTGAATAGTGGATCGGGAACATTTTAACAGAGATGGCATGGGAGCGTGGTTTCTGACAGGTGGGCAAGTTTGGACTAGCTGAAGTGATAGGGACAAGGAACCTTCCCAAACCGGATATGTAAAGCCCTGGGGCCATTCAGGAGCAGTCTCCCCTGTGGGCTTTTGGGAGCTGGGCTGAATGTTAAAGATGCTGCAGGCCCATGTGTCACTTTGTGCATTCCGTGAGTTAGGAACCAGCATGTGGAGAGGATGGGGTTAGACACTGGGCCCCTTCAGAGTAAACCAGCCAGCGTTTATTGAGCTGAGCAATTTGAAGAATCTTGCCTGCCTGGCTGTGTCTGGAAATCACTTGGATGTCATTTGTAGAACTTGGCTTTACTGAGCAAGGCCTCATCGTAAGAGGGGTCTGAAATGTCTGGGTTACTTGTTAGTTCTTGTGTCTCATTTAAGAGAGACAAGTGGGGTGACCCAGTATTGAATTATAAACTGTTTTTGGTAGATTTTTGTAAAAAAAAAATTGGGATAAATACACATAACACAATGTATCGTCTTAACATTTTACGTGCACAGTTCAGTGGCATTAAGTGCATTCATCCTGTTGTGCCACCATCACCTTATCCATCTCCAGAACGCTTTCATCTCGCAAAACTGAAGCTGTCCCCATTACACGCTAGCTCCCCATTCCCCCTCCCCCACCCCTGGCAACCACCATTCTGCTTTCTGTCTCTATGATTTTTAACTACTCTAGGTTCCTTATAAGTGGAATCACACAGTATTTGTCTTTCTGTGACCGGCTTCTTTCACGCAGTATAATGTCCTCAAGGTCCATCCATGTTGTGGCAGGTGGCAGGATTTCTTTTCTTTTTAAGCTGAATAATATTCCAACCCATCAATAGGCTTTGGTGCCATAAACTCAGATGCATCCAGGAGACATGTTGTCAGAGTCACCCTTGACTTCACTATCCCCCCACTCCCACCCCCACCCCCAGCCCATAGAGAGACCCAGTCAAGGCCACAGTCCCAGGCGAAAGTCTGAAAGTAAAAGCAAAAGAGAAAGGGACCAGGTTGGAATACAGAGAAGGATCTGTGTGAGGCCCAAATGGTTTTCTAGGATGTCATTTACACCTGCACATCCTTGCCCCCAGATTTGTTGGCAGGGGCCTCTGTCTTCATGCTGTATCCCGTTGAGCAGACCAGATCTGTTTTTGCCCTTGGTGCTTGTGAGTTTGGGGATGGGTGCTCCCACTGACACAGTCTTTGAAGGGTGGGGTTGCTATTGCTGTAAAGATGAGAACTCTGTCCTTACAGTTGTGGGTACATCATCCTTGGCCTCTAGCTGCAAGTGGGTCTGGGGCCCGAGGGGAGTGAGCTGCTTAAGTTTTCCAATTCTGGATGTATTCAGAATTCCCAGGGGCCTATATCTGGAGGGAAACTTGTTGACTGGCTCCAGAAGCGCTTTATTTTGCCAGCCAGTGTTTTCATTTCTCACCCTCCCTGAAGGATGCTCAGGGCTCCAGCCCCATATTCACTTCATCTGCCCTGCTACAGACAATTTGCCTTTGACCATGCTTGGGATAAACAAAAGACCCACATTTATTTATTTCAAATCTGGTGCTATACAATCCCTCTAGAAGTCACCATAGGCCTTCTCCCTCTAAGTTTTCTATAAAGAGGGGACAGTTTTGCTAGAACGCTGTTGTGTTTGCATGAGAAGCAAAGTGAAGGCCCCTAACATGAAATCTCATTAACACGGGTACTGTGTTCTCTTGTCCAGGGGAAGCAGAGGTTCCTGATCCAAATGACCCTTTGGGACAAGTGAATGGACATGACAGCCCTATCCCAACTCTGAAAGGTAAGCTGTGAAGTCTTCTTTTAATGCACGTCTTTGGCAGTGTTTTTGGAGTGCCGTGTAGAGAAGCTCTTAGTGGTTTGCCATTTCTTCTCAAGGATTGGCCGGGGGCACTGATGGCTGGGTACCCTGTGGCCCGGCCCCGCTGGTGGGTGCAGTGACACGCCTGCCTCCGTAACTGTTTCCATGCACTGCTGAGTGTGCTGAGGGCTGGGGACGCACATGGCCGCTGGAGGGAGGGCGGGCCGGCGGGCGGGTGGGCCTTGGGGGTGGGTGTTCTGGGGGCCTGAATATAGCTTTAGGAGCTGGACTCCTGGCTTGGCCACTAAGTCTCCTGTTGATAAGCAGTCATATTCTCAGTTATTCTCTCGATGTGATTGTCTAAAGTGGGTGGATGTCTCCACTGAGCAGGTGGCTCTTCTCCACAGGGTCACCAAAATCAGGTTTTTTGTCTTACTGATGCAGCCTTTCCCAGAGGTTTCAGTGTCACCACTCACTTGGCACGTTCTGTAGGCATTTTAGATTTGTAGGGTCAGTAGAACCCCTTTCCTGCAATATAGCCCACTTACTCGTGGAAAAGGCGATTTTCTTGCTTTATGCATTATCACCATATTGCCTGAGATCAGTGGCTCCGTCAGCTCAGGCCGCCATAACAAAACACCACACACTGGGTGGCTCAATCAACAGGAATTTATTTTTCACATTTCTGGAAGCTAGAAGTCCAAGACCAAGGTGCCATCATGGTCAGTCCTGATGAGAGCTCTCTTCATGGCTTGCAGATGGTACTGTGAGCTCACATTGCAAAGAGAGGGCTTTAGTCTCTTCCTCTTCCTATAAGGACACTACTCCCATCATGGGGCCCCATCCTCATGACCCCATCTAACCCTAATCAGCTCCCACATGCCCCACCTCCATACACCATCCCATTGGGGGTTAGGGCTTCAATGTTTGAATTTTGAGGGGCGCACAATTCAATCCATTAAGTTACCTATTAGAACAGCCACAATATTTCTGCTTAAATTTTTGTTTGTTTGTTTAGCATGATTTGAAGACCAGAAATACGTAATAGTTTCATAGCCCTCTGCATGTTGAGGGTCCCCGTGTCCCTTCGGGACCTGTGTCTAAGGTGGGATCTCCCGGGGATTGAGCAGCGATGACTCAAGTCCGCAAGTCTCAGCCAAGGTATCCAGAATGTCCCCTTTGTCCTCAAAGGACTTCTTGGGGTCACACAGAGTGCTGAACGCACCATTTGTTTACAGGTCAGTTGTTTAAATCGAGGGTGGGTGGAGCTTCCTTGATGAAGATTTGCCCATTACTGTGATAGATGCAGTATACACACGAGTTGGTTCCCTTGAGTGTCCCCTCACAGTTGTTCCAGTTGCTGTGACTTCATTGGCACTCAGGCTGCTTATAGGGGAGGGCATCTATCAGGACAGGGATGTGCCCCCCCCCCGTACCTCCCCTCACCGGGGGGAGCAAAGGCCTGTGTTCTAGAAGCGTGTGCATGACACTGGGCCTAAGCACGTGTTTCTTAAGGATGAAGATGGTTTTTGATGGCTAGATTCTAAAATCACTTCTCAGAAGTCTGACTTGACCAGCAGTTCAGACATTTGCTGGCCGCCCCTCTGTGCCAGGTGGTGTGTGAGGCCCGAGCACGCTAATGGTCCACACAAGTGTCGCATGTGCCTCACAAGTTTAGAGACTGTGGAGTTGGTGTCATAAGAGAAAACTATCAAATGGCACAATGAGGAGTTGTGGTGAGGAGCCGGGGAGAGATGAAGCTATGGTGAGCTGGAAGGAAAAGGGGGCGTGCATTGGGTTTAGGGACAGGACGTTGCACTGAGACCTGAAGAGGTGACATTCGCTAAGAGATGGTGGGCGGGGGAATGTCCCAACCAAGGCCTGGCCTGTGCAGAAGCCTGAGGCCTAGAGGACTGGGCCTTGGGACAGCTGAGAGAAGTTGGGGGCTTCTGGGCTGGGTGGCCGAGGTCCAAGAGGCCAGCAGGGGCTCAGCCTGTGGGCCCAATACTGTGGCCGTCAGTCACACATGGTCTTTAAATCAATTAAAATTAAATAAAATCAAGAATCCAGTTCCTTTGTCCTACTAGCTACATTTGAAGTGCTCAACAGCCACCTGTGGCTGGAAGCCACTGTGATGGGCAGCACACATCTAGAACATTCCACCATCATAGATAGTTTCATCAGGCAGCCCTGGGTGGAGCGTGCAGTTATTAGATGGCAGGAGAAAGTTGTATTTCATGGTGAGTGCCTCCCTTTGCCTGGCCCCCAGAAGGGCTCTAGCCTGGGATTGGGGTGACCTGATTCACACGCTACAAAGGTTACCCTGGCAGGACTAGAGGAGGATGGGGACGTGGAGGGACAGAACAGTTAGGAGGGAGGTGGACAAACCACAGTGATGGCCTAAACGCCAACCTGCGGTCATTCTCTAGACTCTCACTCTTTCTGGGGACAGCATGCTGTCCCCAAGTAGGGAGTGTGGGACCTCCTTGTGGGCCTAGGCTGGGGGTGGCAGGGAGGAAGGAGCCAAGGGGAGTGGGAGCTGCTGCTCACCTAGGTGCTCACAGCTGCCCTGGGGAGGCTGTGAGCTGCAGGACTCAGAGTCCCCTTGGTCGGAAGAGCATTTGCTGACCAAGGGGCAGACATGCCCACGGGCTGAACACTCATAGACATGTGTATATTCCCACCTAGCCACAAGTTGCGAACAGTGATAAGTCAGGTTCAGGGCCTCGGGGGATTCTCGGACCTCCTGTTTGATATTTGAGCAGTGCTCTCTAAAGTCCCCTGCTTGGTTAAGATGCAATTGCCTCCTGGCTTTGTTAATCCACAGGTGACTGAGCTAAAGCCGTGCACACTTCAGTACCCGTGCAGTGCTGAGGGGGAGTTTCAGGGAGCTTGCAGGCTCGCCTTGGACCTCTCTAAGGCCCAGAAACACCAGTTGCAGAGGATAACTGGTAAAGGGCCTGTGTGTGTGTTTTTAGTTTCTGTGTGCACACACACTTGGAAAAGGGCAGTGCACCAGGTCCTCGAATAACACTGTTTGGTTCAGCGTCGTTTTGTTATAACGTTGATGAGATGCCATAGGAACTTAACTCTTGTTTATATCAGTTAGCTTATGATAAAATTGGTTTCGTTACACGTTGTTGCACTTAAAGTTGCAGAACCCCTCGAGGACGTTAGGTGAGGACTTACTGTGGGAAAGGAATCAGAGAGCCGCAGCAGGCTGGCCTTTCCCACAGTGGCAGCGTGGGGCGATGCAGTATGGCGAGTGCAGCAGTCTGCGCTGGGTTTGGCCAGAAGATGACCTGGATGGGATGACTGCTCCACCCCTCACCCCCATTGGGGCTACGACACTGCACTGGGCCCCGTGTCACCCTCAGTCATTGGAGAGATGAAAGGGCCTAGGGGACAGCACTTACCCAGGGAGCAGTGGCTGGACGCTGATGCCACTTGCTGTCATCACAACTCTGATTGTTGTCAGTGTGTCCATCAGTTTCCAGCTGTGGATCACTCAGCAGCTCCTTGGGAACAGGATTCTAGCGAGTGGCCCCCAGGGAGGCTCAAGGCCCCCACTGTCCCATGCAATCTGGCTATCTGGTCCTGCAGTGCGATTTACTTCCTTTTGGTTTATGGCTCTTGCACAAGAGGGGACTCCCTCCACCTTTCCTTCCTGCTCCCCCTGCCTCCACCTCACACTCTCAGTGCTGGAGGAATTGGCCTGGCGGTGCCAGACTCATTAGTCCATGCACTTTTTTTGTTTAAAGAGTTTCTGAGAGTGTCACTACCTGGCCACATTTGGTTTAGATCATATTTAAAAAGTAGTAATAGCTGAGTGGACTGTATGAGCTATTTCTTTCATCCAGATACCATTCATGATGCCCACACTGTAAAATTGCAGGCAGGTGAAATGGCTGGTAGGCTAGGCCATCAGTGATATAACCGCTCTGCCTGAGCAAAATAAGGTCTGAGAACTAGTTAAAAGCATAAAAGCATTTGCGTTCACATGCACTGGACCAGTGTGAGCACTAAACATTGGTGGTTGGTACTGAGAGAGACCCCAGAGCAAAAAGCCTACCTACAAGGGCAAATGAACACAAAAAACACTGTGATTTAGAGCTGAGAAAGTTGCCTGAAATTTCCGTATGCCAAAGTACTGTCATCGTTAGAACTGAAGAAGGCCTTAGGGCTCCAGTTACTGTGCTGTTAGCATGGAAGTGGCTATTTAAGGGGGACTTTGTGCTCCTTGCTGCATTAGACATGCGATGATGATGATGATGATGATTACCAAAGTGTGCATTTGACCTAGAAACCATTTGCTCTTCTGTTCCAAGATCATACTTTATTTTTTTCTTTTTCAAAAGATTTTTATTAAAATAGAGCTAACATACATACAATATTATAACAGTTTTAGGCGAACATCATAGTTATTCAATAGTACCCACCTGGCGCTATACATAGTTATTACCACATTATTGCTTATATTCCCTATGCTAAAGAAGTGGTCACCATGATAAGTCCAGCAACCATCTGACACTGTACCATGCTATCATAATATTATGATCTTTTGCACCCTTTAAAATTTTTCAATTAGAGTTGACATTCAATATTATTTTACATTAGTTTCAGGTGTGCAGCATAGTGGTTAGATATTTATATATTGGGTTGTCGGGAAAGTCATGACGCATTTTTGCTTTGAAAACCATAGAAAAATACATCATGACTTTTCCGATGACCCAATAATTTAGGAAGTGATTCCCCTAACTAGTACCACCTGGCACTATACAGTTATATTATTGACAATATTCCCTATGCTTTACTTTACATCCCCATGACTATTTTGTAACTACTAACTTGCATTTCTTAATCCCTTCACCTTTTTTACCCTGCCCCCAACTCTCCTCCCATCTATCATCCCGATAGATCTAGTACCCATCTGACACCATACATAGTTATTACAATATTATTGACTATATTCCTTATGCTAT